TAAATTAGTTAAAGAACTGCAAGTGCAATAACGTTCAAAATGTCCGTCAAAACCATCAGGAAAACGACAATACATTCAACGTTTTGGCTGCAGTAGCAGAAAATCCGAATATAAGTTTAGGAACAAATTTGCTTCAAATCAGTTTTTTTTCTTCGATTATGTAGGTACTCTGATTCTCTCTGATAAACAAATAGTGTCTGATGCAGATGCAGCATACATTCTCTAAAAAAACATTACCCTAAGATACCTTTTATTGCGTCGGTTAGTTGAAACAGAATCTAATTAGTATGAATATCGTTCGACGTCAAACAACAATAACTTAGATGCGATGCGCTTGTAGTTTGTTAAAAGATTCCAAAGCATCACTGATTTATAAAAATGTAATTTTTTATTTTGTCGATTTCTACGGTTTTGAAAAATGGAAAATTATAACTAAAAGTATGAACAGATGCAGTATTTTTTTCTCTAAAAAAAAACTGATTTAGACTTTTGCTCTAAAATAATTAGGGGAGCTAATAATTGACTATAAAGAAATTACCATTGAAATCCCTATGCTGCGTTGCGCTAGTCACCACCCTGTATACTATTAGCTATTTTTAGACATAATCAAGATATTGATCCCTGCGTGACATTACTTTGAACATTCCGTTGCGGTAGTACCTACTGTGTTATGTTGGGGAAAAAAACTAACGAAATAGAAACACTTTGAACCCTCGCTTTATTTGAAAAAAAAAGGTCTCTTGTGCCACCAAATGTCACACAAGGAAATAAAGCAGACATTCCTTTCTTAATTGTTGAAATAGTACCTAATGCTCCTTCCAAAGGGAAATTCAAAATAGCTTCAGCTGTAAAGACTAACCTATCACATTTTTCGTATCAGGCGAGTAGGAAAGCAGTTATTATTGAAAACACGATGTTTGGTACCCTGGCCAACAAAATGGGGGTTGTGTGTGATCGATCTTAAAAACTGACTACTCATCTAAATAAAGCACGAAACGTTATTCCTCAATTTACAAAACTGCTGGTGTTACTGTTTATGCTGGTTTGCTTTCATGTTTCACTTAAATTTCCCCAACAGGTAATTTACATGTATTCCTCATTGATGGAAGTTATCTATCACAGAGCGAAAAGCATGAAAAACCGGGTCTTTGTAAATAAAAATTGACTTGAATATTGATCCTCTTGAATAACAAAAGTATAAACTAATTGCTTTAAAACAATACTGCATAGGCAATTTGAACAGTATAACAAACGTTTAAAAAAGGAATTATTTATACAAACTAAAACGTACTTTGTACAAGAATGCCTTTATATATTCCATTTTATAAATTTAAAGACTATATGACATTATATTTGACAGAGTAAAAATAAACTGGGCGCTGAATAATATATGAAAAAAAGTTCTCATTCGAATTTATGAGGGAAAAAGGCACGACTATCATAAAAATACAATACCTACAAACTTTAATTTTTTAGCCCTTTTTTACCTTCTGTTCAACTGCATTACGGATATACGTTGTCAAATTTCAGCTCAAAAGGAATGTTAAAAAATTTATTTTGATGTATTTCAGCACGATGGAAACTTTCCGTTTGTTTCTTTTGTGTGTAATTCAATTTGCAATTTTTTCGGTAGCGTAAAATAACATTTATTTATGAAGTGGAGTATCTCCCTGTGGATTTGAAGGAACGCATCGAACAATTTTGACATTTAACTTTTCACTATAGTTTACATTTCAGTCATTCAAGTCATCGCAAATTATATTAATGCAAGTTACATTTTTCAGTGGCTTGCGCCGGCAATCCGCAGATGTAACATCGCCCCGTTAAACAATATTAGTTAAAATCTTCGCAATATCGACTAATGAGGCTTTCTTTACACGACATTTAGGAACAAAATTTCTGGGTGATTTTTTTATTGTTTCTAATTGAAAGTAACACACCACTTTCCTTTCTATTGCACAATCAAAGCTACTGATTCATTCCTGTAGTATGAACATAAATTTATTTGTTTGCCGTCTATCGTCTTTTAGATTAGCAAAATTTAAAAAAATACGCATCTTTGCCTTCTGAACGAGCTGAACGACTTTAAAGACCCGCGCCGTGACATTCCGAATCTACAAGTGAGACCTACTTCTGATCATTAAAATTTAACGCTCAAATAAATAAATGTGTATATTTGAAAAACATTACTTATACTCCCCTCGGCATTTGCGACGCAGTCACACAAATTAATGTTTTCAGTAACCTGTTGGGAAATGTCTCGAATGAATATTTGAATTGTCTTGTCTATCCAATTTTATTTTACATATTTGTAACGTTTCGTAATTACCTAAGCGTATTGTGTGCACAGGTGTACAAAGAGCGTTTACTTTTCTCAATTACAGTGTGTTACATACAGTATAGTTATCCTGAAAGTGTTCCATTAATAAACAAAAAACTCTGAGATGTGTGAATTATTATTTTTTTTATCAATTTTACATACGGGGTAGATGCCGCTTTGAAGACGCAACAGAATAGTTAAAAGTGAATTTTGGGGTTCTAGGGGACATCTCGAAGGTTTTCGATACCAATAATCGAAAACTGCTGCTCGAGAAACTTGAAGCTTACGGAATCACCGGTAATGTCATTCGTTAAGGTCACAATTTGTGTAAGTTATGGGTCAAGATGGAAATATCGTAAATTCTAAATTCAAATCTTCCCTATTTCGTCCTACCGTTGGAAGGCTCAGGGATCAACTGGTAGCTGGTAGCAAACATTCTAAGAAAGGGTAGAATACATAGGACATTACTCGTCTTTGACGGAATATGAGTAAATCAGTGAATCGCAACTCATGTATCACCCGTAGATTCTAAACCGAAGAGTTCTTATTAGCAGGATCTCGCGCAGACGGCTTTTCCCCGAAAAATTGCGTCGTTGCCAGCTCTCCAAAATGTGTGCATCATCGTAGGTTGTACAGAGTGGAACCCTCTCAATGTATACGTTTGTAAAAGTATACGGGGTATAGTAAAAATGTTATTGGAGCTAACCTCATTTTATTAAATGGAACGCCCTGTATGTTTTTATCTTAAAAAAATAACATATTAAATTATCATTGCAAAAATATAACACGCAACAAATTAACAAAACGACCCGAGAAGGATTTGAAAAATTTTAAATTAGTTATACACTGCCTTTTTTTGAGGCCCGAAAAAAAATTGTCTCAGATCGACCCGGAAAAAATTTTCTTATAGAACGTGACCTGTAGAATCCACAATTTCAAACAGTTCCAAGATTGGGCTACTAGTTCAAAAGTTACAGCCCTTTGAATTTTCTTTCGAAATTTGTTTCTAGTCTATAACTTTTGATTGAGAAGTCTGATCGAAAAAGTACGAATTGTTTTGGATTCTACGCACCAAAATTAATAAGAAAAAGTGTTTTCCCGAGAAATTTTGGTGTAGTCGATTTTTGGTAAAAAAGGAAGGTTATACACTGCCTTTTTTTGAGGCCCGAAAAAAAGATTGTCTCAGATCGACCCGGAAAAAAATTTTTCTTATAGAATGTGGCCTGTAGAATCCATAATTTCAAACAGTTCCAAGATTGGGCTACTAGTTCAAAAGTTACAGCCCTTTGAATTTTCTTTCGAAATTGGTTTCTAGTCTATAACTTTTGATTGAGAAGTCTGATCGAAAAAGTACGAATTGTTTTGGATTCTACGCACCAAAATTAATAAGAAAAAGTGTTTTCCCGAGAAATTTTGGTGTAGTCGATTTTTGGTAAAAAAGGAAGGTTATACACTGCCTTTTTTTGAGCCCCGAAAAAAAAATTGTCTCAGATCGACCCGGAAAAAAAATTTTCTTATAGAATGTGGCCTGTAGAATCCATAATTTCAAACAGTTCCAAGATTGGGCTACTAGTTCAAAAGTTACAGCCCTTTGAATTTTCTTTCGAAATTGGTTTCTAGTCTATAACTTTTGATTGAGAAGTCTGATCGAAAAAGTACGAATTGTTTTGGATTCTACGCACCAAAATTAATAAGAAAAAGTGTTTTCCCGAGAAATTTTGGAGTGATCGATTTTTAGAAAAAAAGGAAGGTTGTACACTGCCTTTTTTGAGCCCCGAAAAAAAAATTGTCTCAGATCGACCGGAAAAAAAACATTTTCTTATAGAATGTGGCCTGTAGAATCCATAATTTCAAACAGTTCCTAGATATATCTCTATTGACCGTGTCCTGCAGGAGCCCACTTTCGCAATGTCACGGTAGATGTAATTTAAATCATTTTCAGTATCTTTGTTTTGGTATTTTAGCGTATAATTTAATGTAATTTTCAAAAATTATTGTAAATGTATGACTCTGTGGTGTACTCGTAAATTACAGATTAAAAATTACACAAAATATAGAATGCAACTGATTTAAAAGCAAGTTTAAAAGTTAATCATTGATGGTCCCAGCGATTGTTCATTCAATCAAATTACATCTCGTAGCTTTTCAAAAACGTATAAAAATGTAGGTAATAAAATTATAATCAAATACTCAAACAGCCAAGAGTACAAATTTGACACATCTGATGGCCACAAAAATAGATACCTCAAATCTGAAAGAAGAATTAAATAAAAGGAAAGGGCCATTCTACTGAATACATATTCTACACCTGCAACAATACACCCTACTGCGGTAAAACCAAACCAACACTTTATAAAACTCATTACACGCTCCCTTTATGACAGGGAAGTCATTGTCTAAACGTGATAGAAAAGAGCACTAGGTGATCCCAGATCCAAAGAACACTCCACAAAAGGTAGCGGTCGGATGAAATGTTCGCAATTGCTCTTTTCCCTTTTATAGAGTACCCTATAACCAATACTTGCGGAAGATTTACAAAGGTACCTATTATTGTTCTCTTTGTCGTGGATTAAGTATGACACGACTATTCCTTTCTTACGAATTGGAATATTGAGATGTTCACATTCATTACACTGTCACCGCCAGGGAATGTGCAAACCAAACCAGAGCATAAAAATTTTAATATAATTTTTAATTACAGTTCCAATTACGTTTATGGATACGCCACCCGAACAAATCGGCGAAGAGAACTTGGACGTAACGTTGCGTTGCGAGGTGAAAGGAGGAGATAAAACGGTATTAATTTGGACTAGCGAAGGAAAAGAATTGCAACGTAAGTAGATTAGTTTTAATTAAATAGAGAATTGATCACGAAATCCTCATTTGCGTAATTTCGAAATTAGAAAGCTACATAACAACCAATAAAAAGCTAATGTCAAAAACTTGATAAAACTGTCACGTCGGGTCCAAAGGGGAACATCCTGCTAAACGCTCTTGTAGGCATTGTTGTAATACCATTCCATCGATTTTTAATAATGCATACGTACGTGATGAAAATAAAATCAAACTTTTGTAGCGTATTGTTCGCGTTTTCAAATCGAATCACGCTAACTAGGGAGCCGATGTAATTATATTTTCAGCATAGGAACGTAACCCTTATGTGCGCGCATACTTAATTGAATCCCAATGGAACGTCCCTTGAAGAAAAAAACAAAGGGCGTCGTTCGAATTGAAATTTACTAATTTAGTACCTTTTCGAAGTCAAGATGGAAGCAGCCCAACTTTCTTACATTTACATAATACATACGTAGCCAACCTATTTCATATCGAACCTCATAAAATCGCTATGAGACAAGTTTTGTATCAAATTTAGCACCACTCGCATGGACTTCCATCGATTATTTGTCTACCAACAGAATTGCCGAATTCAATTTTTCCTCTCACGGCGTGCTTCAGCGAGATTTCGCAATCTGATTAATTTCGTTTCAGGTCTACTGCACCTTTTACATATTTCAGACAATTAGTCTTGTAAACCCGGCAACGTTTGTCGTTGTCCATATTTAAACTGTAACCAACCCTTTTGCTTCTACAAACACGATTAGTTTGCGACATTTGTAGATTACGAATTATAAGATTCGTTTGCCTGATGGGTGTAATTTATTCGATTACGCTGCAAAATCTCAATTTTATGAATATTCCACGATAACACTGAGATTGATGTGGAGCTGGAACTTTGCCGCTTTACGATGTATATATTTTATTAACGCAATAAAATATTTCATCATATCTGGGATTTTCTTCTATTTCCCTTATAAAGGACCACTTTTTATGAAACTCCACTTTACGAGTTTGGAGAAATTCAAATACTATTGGATGGAAAATATTGCTCATTCCCGCTTGGATTTGAAAATAGTTGCATTCGGGCACAAACCACACAAGTCTAATTAGCAGAACAGCGATTCCAAGTGGCGAATGCGGAAACTCAAACCGTCTTGGGAGCATGACACTAGAAAACTTTAGCTGCCAACTAATTGAACTTGCCCTACACAGAAACAAGTATGTAAGGTGCAATGTTTGTTATCATAGGGAACTATTCTATTAATGCTACATTGTGGAGAGAGCAAGAGATGTTGAAAACACAAACCATTTTGAATCCTACTTGAATGTCCGTTGCCAATGTGGTCCGGTCCCTGAAATTTGTATACAGGTTCCTCTCATAACGCGACGACCCACATTAAATCCGGCCCTGACGACTGAGCCAGAAATCTGAACAAATCTTCCTTATTGCCAATGTCCTGTAAATCGGCCAGTCTATTGGAAATGTCGTCTTTTACCGCGAGTGTGGTTCTTCGGGCTATCGGGAAGATACCTATCCCACACGACATCAATGCCCTGGATATTATTAGTGAATTCTTTACGAACAATCAGGTCCAACAGGCGCTCTGCATAGTCTTTGAAAGTGTAAGCTAGGACTAGGTACAAAAAAATTGATCACAATGCTCCATATGTTTTTTTGGGGCGAGTTAAATTTTACAAAAAACGAAGGGGTAGGCAACTCGAACTTAATGGGCTCAAATTATAACCCGGAGTACCATAAGAAGTTTATGTGATTTAATTACTTACATTCCTAGCTAATTATGCTAATTATTCAGTTTGGAGCTAAAATACTGAAAAAATCAAAAAAATATCGAAATGGGCTAGTTAACGCCTAAGTATGTAGGCAACTCCTACTCGTATGAGCTCGCCTGTGCCCCTGTAGTAGAGTAATAGTAGTAGAATCGAAAAAAATTAGTCCAGTCTTTAGCAATCATTTGCGTAAGCAGCCTCACCCTTAAACGGGGATTTAAGGGCAAACGAGCGTTGCACCACGTCGGAAGGGTCAAAAATCATATTTGCCAATTTATACCTTTACTCAATAGTGCCAACTTTATCTCATTTTAGGACCTAAGCACCCAGACTACCAGTGGCTTTTTGGCCGGACGCTTTATCGGAAAAGTCCCTGGATGATCCTTAAATAAAATAAATAATCCCCACTCTAGAATTTTATCGAGGGCATTCTCCTTCTGGGACTCCAAGGAAAGAAGTACATTTCGGACCTTAAGAGCGGCTTATAAGGAGATTTGATAAGAAACTTGAAGCGTATTTCTTGGGAACGTAGTGGGGAATCGAAGGAAAGATGAGGGGATACTCAAAAAAATTGTTAAAGAAGCTTGAGAAGGGATTATTAGGAAATTCAATTAAGAAAGGTGAGGTGGAGGGGGGTCATGAAGTAAACTTCAATATTTATTGGGAACTCACGTTGAAGGAAATTTTGACAAACACTTTTGAGTAACTTAGAAGCTTTAGAAGGAGCAGGGGGGAAATTGGAAAAAAAGCCAAATTTAACAGGAAATTGTGAACGCAGAAATTAATGAAAAATGAAATTTCCGCACCTGGAGAAAAACCTTAGGAAGAAGTTGATTGGGGCCCGAGTGGAATTTTTGGGGCATAACAGAATCATTTGGGGGGAACCATAAGTTGAACGTGGAAATTCCTGGTACAACGAAAAACTAATTAGATTTCTAATTATTCCGACACACACACTCCATAGGAAAAATACTTCAGTTTATTATGTATATTTAAATTTTCTGATTCAGCATGATGCCTGGAATAACAGTGTGAAACCCAGAATCGCCAAATATCGTTTCCGATTCTCGGTCATGTTTTCTGAACGAAAATGATTCGGATTTCGGTTTTGAAAAAACGAACGATTCCGGTTTGTACTTTTTATTCGGTCCGATTCGGATCCATGCTTGTAGGTGACTTGGTCGAAGCGAGATTTTTGCCGAAGTAACGCTTAAAATTTCATATCACACATTCGCGAAGGTTTAGATGAGTTCATACTCGCTTGGTTATTAACGCGCCTCGTATATTTGTTATGTATTGTACGCCTAATATTATTACAATTATATCTAACAATAAAATGTAATCTCGACGGTTTGAGTTCGAGAACAACAATTAAACGCGTCAATTGTGTAAAACAATAGAACAAACGGGTAGAATTTTGTCTCGCTTTGACGTATTCTCATTAGGGAGAGCGATATCTGATCAAAAATTAACGTTAAACTGCCATGAGAGACTTCCTCTTTTGTTAAAGGTAAATCGAAAAGTTGTCATTTTAAAAACGTGATTACGCCGAAAATCCGCCGTAATTGCAAAATATCCGGGAAGATAACATTTTATATTTATAGAGACGCTCTCGTTTGGAAACTCGCTTAATAAAACTTTGGGGAAAATTTTCGAATTGAGTGTTTATGCAAGACGATAAATTAAAATTTCTTTACATTATTAATGGTTCGTTTCATTCTTCTTTTTTTTGAAAATACAATTTTACATAAATTGTTTATGGTGTGCTTACGTATTGTGTCTACAAGAGATTCAACTACCTTCAAGGCTTGTTTTAATTTTAAATTATTCCTAAAATGAGCTTAAAATTCCAGAAATGAATTTGTTTTGTAAATTGGTGTCAATGGTTGAAGAATGTCTAAAGCTAACGGTTCTAAAAGGATCATAAAACTATTTTAAAATCGTAAATTTTCAAAAAATTCTACTAGAATTTTGAATAAATTTAAAAAAAGCTTCTATTACCTAATTACCTTCATAGTGGTATATACTGCCGTATACAAAAACCTAAGCCTCCTCTCGAGACAGTCTGTAACATCTTCTGAAACAAATAACTCTAAAGAATTACGAGAATTTGTTGAGGCTATAAGACAGTGTTCTAAAAGAGAGGGTTTTGAGTATGTGATGGAAGCTCCTTAAAAGAAAGCACAGAACGGGTTGCAGTAGACCCAGTTATACATGTAACTTTTTCTTCAATCTTAAGTCGCAAGAGCCGCTGGAATAGAGATACGTGTGAGAAATTTAAGGCCACTCTTTTCATCGAACTAATTTTGGGAGTTAATGCAGGAAAGGGAAGGCCTTATTAGAATTTAAAATTTCAATGGGGAAGAATTGACCACTTTCTTTAAATTGTTTATGAATGGCTCTCATTCCTAAAATGTCAAGTCTGGGTTGTTTATTGCAAAAGTGAAGGTTCTTTATGTTTTCTATCGAAAAGGAGTGGGCGGAATTTAACGTAGATTAAATTTTGAATAACGCGCGTTCGATAGGAACATATGAAACTAAAACCACTCGACTACGATTCGTGGTTTGAACAGTGCACGCGTTTCATTATGGCGTTCATATAATAATTAATAACTATGAATAGATTTCAAAACCTTAAAAGTACCCTAATAGAATAAGGGCTGCGTGAGCTTTGCCATCAAATCCTCACAATTAACTTTACGAGATGCGTCAAGAACTCTAAACACAATTCCAAACTTCTTTGTATGCTAAGCCCACAGTAATAATTTAACGTTAAAATCCGGACCACCAAATCAAATCTAAAGCTTACTTAAGTTGACATTATGAGTCTTTCATTGCGTTATTATTGTTTTTTTATTATACCTGAATCACAATCTCCGTTTTAAACACTCAAATGCGTGCGAAAAAGGGCCTTTAAAACACACGTGCTTTAAAGTTGCTAAGTAACGATACTTCAAGCATGACTTTTGAAACTGTTATCTGGGTGAAATAAAAAATCTTCCTAAGTCGCTTTCTGTAAATGCAGAACATTTCTTTGGCTTGTACCTATCCTTTGGTTGAAGCTTTTACAAACGCGCGTAATTTAGGGTATGCTTCCAAATCTGGTCAACTTTTTAGTCCCAGCAATAAGTGAAGTTTTGAATGAATGCACCAAAAGATCAAAGATTTAAATACCTTTGACATTTCCTTCATATATGCTAGCATTATCGATGCATTTAAGACTTAATTCGTAAGTAACTTCCTATTCATCTATGGAAACAACTTTTCATATGCTTGATAATAGGCTTTACTGGATTGAGATTTTACACCTACCAACGTTTGTTTAGATTTTACAACAAGCGATTTAATGGACGGTGTATTATCTTTTTCAACGGAAATCGTTTTATTCACAAAGACGACGATTTTTATAAGCAAACGTCAAGTGACATTTCCATGGCAATCGTGAAATTACGAACACCCAGCCCACTTAATTAGACATGTATTCGAGTATAACGTCAATATGATTTCATTGAATTTCCTATTTTTAAATTATACTGCAGGTATAATAAAAAATACTATAAGATACACGTGTATAATTGGTCTTTAAAGCACTTGCAACGTTAAAGGCACTCCGCTTTGCGTCGTGCCCTTAAACTCGTTGCGCGTGCTTTAAAGACTTGATTATACACTTGTATCTTAATATACTATTATTTAATAAAGGGCTTTCTTTCTAGTGTCGACATTATTTACGCTCCTTCCGATAAACGAAGTAATTTTCAATTGCAGCGAAGTGCAATTTTCAAAACACCGATTTGCAATACAATCATTTTAAACTCCTGTATAGTTTTCTCTTTGCCTTGGGCTCTTTAGTCTTACGTTGTAGTTTGCACGCCTTTACTTTGCAACTGTAAATCATGTGACTATGTACATTCTTATGGCAGTAGCACAAAATTTCTATTTTAATGCGTTAGGAAAGGCACATGTAATTTCAATTAACAGAAAAGACTGTACTTATGTGCAGATTTCAACAATAATTGCTATCATAACCATGAATTCATTTTCTTCATGTGCATAACGGGTTACGCTCTTTCCTGTTTTTCATAGCTCATATTTAGAGTTCAAGTCTAAAATGATTCTAAACGACTCTTTGTTGTCTTAGTTTACTGGGAGATCTTTCTTTATAAACTTTGCTGGCTAATAAACAATTTTTCTGGCATTCGCTCAGTAAAGAAGTCATATCAATTAAATCATTTTCTTCTAAATTCAATTTTTCTAACAAACTTAACTAAGTAACCAACAACCTTGCCAACAATCAATAACCGAAATGTAAATGCCGATAAACCAAACTAATAACAGATGTTATTTAGTTAATTTTAATGTTTTCCCATTATGACTTTTCATGGCTTATTATTATTAAAATTGATTAATTTAGGTTCACGCATTGGCTTCAATCGAGCTTTAATTTAAATGGAAAATTCATTATTTTATCTTTTAAAATGAGTTATGAAAAACATGAAAGAATTTTTGTTTTGTTTGTTTGGGGTAAATATTTTATAATTTGAATTGGTGTTTATAATTTTTAACGGCCTGCTAATTACTGAAAGGATTTGAAAATTGAAAAACATTAAATTATCAGAAAATGTGGAATTACAAAGTGAAAGGTAAACACGGACTTGCTTACGAAATCAAATCCAACATTTCATGCAATTAAAAACAATCTAGTTACCTTTGATTGAAATTTTGAAAATATACGAGAGTTAAGTAGCCGTTCCCATAAGAATCGCGGGACCAGCACCGCCTTTCCCAGGAAACAAGAAGCAAGATCAGGAAATTGTAATTTCATATTCATGTAAAACAACTTAGAAATTATTCCTTGTCATTAGCTTTTGCAATAAAGTCGATATCTTGTATTTTTGGCTTTTTTTTAAAAACGAGAATTGTTTCGCCAAATCTATAAAAAATCTGAGTTACGGCCTTTTAAGTTTTATGATAATTTCGATATTCACTTTTTCTGGACATCTGCTTTTTGAAAAAATGACAAATTGCGGATAAACCACTCATTTTAGATTCTACCCACACATTCATGGGTAGGTACCTATAACAACTCAAAATGAAGTATAATTCCGGCTTAAATTCTGCAATTATTTTGATTTATAGATCAGAATTGGACTTGCATACGAGTTGGTCGGACAGTTTCAAACAAAGGTTGCTTCTGTATAGAATTAAATGAGAAAAACTGTGGAATGAAAAGTCAAACAATATTACCAGTAATATACCAAACAATGCCATTATACGAACGCGGACGTATACATACATTGTCTGATTGTTTCATGAACTTCTGGCTTTAGCGATAAAAAGTAATTAAACAAGCAAACGAGTAACGTTTTTCCAATGTTTTCAGCACCAAAATACCAACAGATGGGCGATGGACTATTGATAAGGAACGTAACGAGAGCGGACAGCAAAACGTACACGTGTCGAGCGATGCAAAGGACAACCGGAAACATAAGGGATCAAAATATTATTCTGAAGGTTGAACGTAAGTACCCGTCTAAATGGTTTAGTTGAGCATGATACAGACGAATTAAGATATTTATCATACACTCACGCGGAATTAATTAAATTCGAGATATATTCTACAAGGAACTTTAATTGCGCGATTGTAATTACAGGCGTGTAAAGATGAATTACAAACAGGGGCAGATGCGTGTGATGTCATTCATCAGAACACTGATGGATTTTAAGAGTGAAACCATTTGAGGGAGATAAATTTTCATGTGAATGCATTATAAATATTTAGGCCATTTATGCAGATGGGTACAAATTTTGCCGCGCGGTGCATAGTTAACCTAGATTTCGAAAAAGTGGAAGTAGAATTTATCTGCTATAGTCCAAGTCATAAATTTCTATGTTGAAAATAAATTTCGGTTTACTTTAAAATCGATAGATACAGTTAGCCCCCACGCGACTGTACGTTTCCTTTCCGGCAAATGTATAATAACATAATCCTTGAGCGAACCTTTTAATTCCGAGTGTTAATTGAAGTTAAAGATGAGCTTCCATTTCGGCGGTAGAGTTCGTTTATTACGCGAGCTTTACTGTATAATTTAGCTCTAGGCGTTTAAAATTCCAAGTACCACTTCCGGAATGAAGCACCACTATTTATTCTGACATTACTACAATTACATCTGACCGGAACATTCTGTGCTTCTCTTCGCATTAATGCTTTTTTCGAATGTGATACGTACCCATCGAATTAATCACGAATAAGAACGAAATGATCTTTATTTATTGCTGTTGACTTAGTTCCACGATTCGTATAATGGATGCCTTCCATATATGGAAATGTTTGTTCGCAAACACAAGCATATTATTATATATCCCCTCGACGATTTCGCTTATTTCCAAAACTCGGAAAAGTTTGTATATGTATACCGCCTACGCGTAGATTGTGCTAAGGTTACAAATGAAAACTGAGTTTGTGTATAGGGGTAAAATATAAAACGGGGTGGTGTTGATGCTGTGATAACTGTTAATTCTAGTTGTTTCAGCGCTTATCCTAAAATTATTAGTTATTATTACAGCGTGGAGAAACAATATTTAAGCGAGTATTTTTATAAATGGCCGACATTGAAGAATGTTTTCCAGTTTTCGTCATTCTCATTCTGTCGCTCCAAGATGTGATAGTAGTGTTCTATTTATGGGGATCGTAAGTTCCGACAGGTAATGGTCTTCACACCTCATAAATAGCACACAACTGTCACACGTCATTAGGCATAACACGCAAACACTTTTCACGGCAAAAACTGACTAGAGACTGCCATTACAACATGCAGTTCCGGTTCAGAGGGGGTGTCCTTTCCCGCCCCTACACTTTTTCAAGAATACTAAAAGGAAAAACTTGTACTAAAATGAAATTTCATAACATAACATAGTAAAATAATGCACCTAACGCATTCCGAATAAAAGTACAAGATGTTAAAAACCAAAATCGAAATAATCTCGTTTGAAACGGTTATGCTTTCTCCCAAAGGAAAATTGGGTGCGGTACCAACAAAAGCTATTAAAATTCCCTGTTCCCAACTATAGGAGCATCTCTCACAAATAAAGACGAACTATATTTCCACAGTTCGCGAGTTCGTGGAGAAATATGAACCAGGCATATCAAATTGTTGTAAAAACTTAACCCGTATTACGTTTTAGTTTACATTCAGGGAGATTTATTGGCGCATTTTCCAACACACGTTAGAAGGCTACTTGATATCCGTCCGTCCGTCTGAGGTCGCAACTACTACTACAGTTTTCAAGATATTTAGTTCGTTCTTTTTGCATTCGGTAGCTAATAACTCTGGTACCTCAACCAAGAACAATCTTGACGATTAATGTGCGCATGCGCGAAGTTTCTTATTTATAGAGATACAATTATTTTTATATTTTAACCGCAGATGGCTCTAGTAAAGACAAGCATATCGCATTTTGTAAAAATCAGATGTGCGCATGTGCAGTGTCCACTTACTTACGTATAGATATTTTTCACGTATGATCCTTTATTTTATCCTTTAATTATATTCTTCGATTTAAAGTGTTTGACCATTGCTTCTGAAGGTTTTTCGGAAGCATTTACTAATTCCAGTCCAGAGTTGACGGGTTAAGTGTGAAATACAATTCATTATTTTACATTCAAGGACCAAACAGTTTCTTAAGATACTAGTTTAACGGTGCGTCGCTGCGGTATTAGTACGAATTTTGGAAATTGGGAATACATACCAAACATTAACATAATGTTTGGAATTTGTGCGTGTTTCAACATAATGTAGCGAATTTTTTAAAGCGCTATCAAGCTGCCATCAAGTTAATAAAGGATTAGTCACCGGAGTTAAGAAATGAAAGCGGATTTTTCCATGAAGTATGAAATGTTAATTCGAGAATTCTTTAGAAGCTTTTTTTTTGCTATATAATCAATTTGAATTGTGTTTTATTTCAGTTTCACATCGACGCCGGAGTGATAAATAGTGAAATTTGCGCTCGAGTTATAAATTTTGAGTACAAGTAATTGATACATAATAATTAACTACTACATGTCAATCTATTTAGGGACCCTTATAACTTCATTAATAATTAATTGTACAACAATAAATAACGTAATTAAATTTATGTCAATGGTTTGCACCTTTCAACAGACTACTACTCTCCGGAAAGTTGACAGAAAAATCACATCAAATTTATATTGGAAGGAATTTTATTCCGCATTTCTACTCATAGAATGCGATCTTACTCGAGGTCTTGCCTAAGTTTACATCTTTCATTAGGTATTACCCACCCGCACATTAATAAAGGAGATTGGTGTAAAAAAATGACCCCCCCTCCACTTTTTTAACGGAAATGCGCGTTTTGAAGCCCCAGGAATCCGAATCAAACAAAATCTCGATGATGTCGGTCTGTCGGTCCGACTGTACTCTCATTTCCGGTTAAACAGCTGAACCGATTGGATCCAAATTTGGTACCCATATTCTTAGACATAAAAGAAAGCTTTGGCAACCCGCATGCGTAGGTGCGCGAATTGTATCTGTGCTAGCCACAGCATTTTTTAAGAGATTGTGTTCAAATGATTCTATTGATAGAAAACGAGAAAGAATATCATCCCTTGCCATTTCTATTTATATTTCAACGGCTGTTATTTATAACAAAAAAGATATTTCCTATTATTGTCATGAATGATTATTCAATTTGCAGACCGAACTAGAAAAAGAATTGAGAATTTCTTGAATTAATAGTATAGTATAGTAAATAAACCTCTCGCCAGGAAAGATTGCCGGTCACAAAACACTTGATCCCGGTCTACAATCTATATTTTTCTAAAGATGTGAGTGACAATGTTGAACAAAAAGACTTTTCGTTCAACATTGGCACGATCCTATTCCGGAAGTCGATCGCATCTTAAGAAAAATATAGATTGTAGATCGGGATCAAGTGTTCTGTGACCGGTAATCTTTCCTGGCGAGAGTTATAGTAAATAATAGTATAATAAATCCTGCAAATTAGAAAAGAGCCATTTGTTGTAGAGTTAATTTCGATCTGCAAATAAATCTAAAAAGTATATGGACAGAGAACAATATGGGCGATTTAATCGCGGGTTCCTGGAGAAAACCGACAATTTTCGCTGCCTTTGGTGCTTGAAGAAAACTATCGAGCTTTGAAAACAAAATTAGTGTACAAAAACGTAGATAAAGTCATTTTGGAATGGCAAAACAGCTATCAAAATTTACCTTCGGAGCCCATCTCTATAGAAATAATAGATAAAAATTATAAGAAAACCCCTCTCCATTTTGCAACATGGGTCAATGCGCGAAAATTGTAGATGGCCTGGTCGTCAATGGATAACGTTTCAAAAACCCTGACCTAACAAGCCAAAGTTTCAGTTAATATACTCTTCTTTCCCGCATCAACCCCACCTAACAGTCTTAAAAGGGTGTTTCGAAACAGCGTAGTTGCTGATCGGATTGTAGTTGATTAGTCGCCTTTTACGACATGCAGTTCCGCTGCAGTAGGGCTATTCTGTCCCGACCCTACACGGGTATCAATAATACTAAAAGAGGTAGGTAGTATACAAATACAGTATCAAATTATTCTGCAACTGAAAGTCTCCTACATAGTAATTTTAAGAACATGTCAGAGATATGTCAAAACCAAAAGTAGCTGCCATTGTGGTTAATTAGTAATAATAATAGTAGATGCCAATACTTTTTAGATGTATAAATAAAGAAATAATAATGGACCACCATAAGAACAAAAAAGCTGTATAGCATTTTTCTGTTATGTGGAAACTGTAAATACAGTTAAAATCAATATCATTCAAATTCCTCTTAAAAAATTGGAACAATTCAGTTATTATGGTTATGACAGGTAAAAGCGCAAAGGTGATTTCATAATTTATGTTTGCTGAACGCTTCTAAAATGAACTGCTGGTTTATAAATACATAGTTTAATTGTAATTAAACTTTGTAACTTTTTCTTGAAAAATTTTAAACAAAAAATATAGAAATGGTACATCACCAACGAGGTGCATGAATGAATTAACATTTTTTGCGCAGGCGGAAACGAGCCAATTCAAAATTTAAAATAAAATGTAACATGGCGCCCCTCCCTCCATTTCAAATAAGTAATCACAACATTCTGTTAATATAAATTTCAAAAAGTCTCGAAAATTAATGTACAGGGTGCCCATTATGTATGGATTATAGTATATATCTCGGTAAATATCGACTGTATACCAGATTTTGCTATACGAAAGTTGTTTACCATTTTATCTCCCATAATAAGGCAACATTCCATTGTTTTTATTTCAGAAAACAAATGAATAACGAAAAACAATGGATTTTTTTAAAATAGCAATGCACACTTTAGGCTCATTTGATAGAGGTTTTGTTTTCTTTTCGATGATATAACATGTTAGTACTCTTATTATTAAATTTAAAAAAATTGAGTTGCGCTTGTGAAAATCTGTTATCTAATCCTTTGCTTTACTAATAAAACATCCGC